CGCAGCTCAAGGATCTGACGCAACGTAAAAATCTGATCAATACATCCACGGCCAGGCCGGAATCCGGTTTGCTGTTCACGGATGTTGGTCTGTCTTAAAGGTGTCAGACGTCGAAGTATAGCCGAAGCTAGCACTTTGGTGACTATCGGGATCAAACTTACCCCGCGGTGGTTTCCGCAATCGTTGCGAGATTCTTTCTTGAAAATGGGAACGATCGGTGATTCACCCCATGATGCCAATGTGCTCTTGCATCCAAATGCTGCGCAGTAGGGCAGTAATAGTGCTTACGAGTTTGTCATCCCCCATCTTGAGAAGAGTAGGAGGGAGTTCATTCGTTCCTGCTACCGTTCCTCGCTTCAGAGCTTGAATGCAGGACTGAATTTCTGCTTCCGTTGGAGGATCGCATGACACTGCCCACGGAGTTTCAGTTGCAGATGAAACAACCTGGTTGGTACTAGGCCCGCTGAAGTTTTCCGCCCAGCGGTCAAGTCGTTCATCCCTATTGTGAATAGCTCGTCCCCTCTTATCGCAGACTGTTTCACTAACTGAAGTCCGCCGACCTCCCCAATTGTGTTATCAGTTAGCAACTGCCCATGTGCATTACATTACGTTACATGACGCCCCCGTTTCTATTTCCTAAAAGCTTTACTCAGTTTGGTTCACACACACCAACAATCTCCCTTGTTTAGAAGTTTCCTTTGCACAATCAACCATTAACGCAGTTTCGCTGTTAATATATTTGGGCATTAATCATATGAACGTGTCTGCCATGCTGAGCGCACTCCGATCAACCAAAGCCTAATCACTTCAGCTCAAGAACCAACGTCATTTTTCATTAGTTGATCCCAAGCACTCGGACTCCGGAACAGTTTGGGAACACGATTAACAGGGTAACCGGTGGCTGAAACTGAATTATTTGAAGAATTAGCACAGTAATCTTACAAGTTATTTCGTTGATCGGTTTTTATAGGCGTGAATGCGCGCACTCACAGCAAATATATCCATATTTAACATCAATCAAAATCACCATGGGTTTAACGCAAAATATACAAAGGGGACGACAAATGATGTCAAGTTTGGGAATAAAATTTTTTTGTTTATTTACTGCACGTTAGTTTTAGTTTGGAGATCACACATAGAAAACAATGCATTCACGCCACTGACTTCGGTTGGATGCCATATCCCGAAATCTTCAAACAAAAACAATTTGAATCTTTGGGGCACTAGCCGGGGAGCCCCGACGGATGTTAAATCCCTGCGCAATCTCTTTAACACTCTACACCAAGTCTTAACCTGCCCACCTCGCTGTTTCTTCTAACCTGGTTCAATGTTTGCAACTAGTGCATGATATGACTGACGTTGCTCAGGCATTCGCAGGACGTGCTCCAACCATCTAAGACGATACAGTGAAATTGTTCTGCTACATGAAAGACTATCTGATGGCAACACACGTCGTCCTCAACGTTAACCACGCGATGCTCCCAGCATATACGGGCGATGTTGCGCACACAACGGTTGTCGAAGACAGATAGCCGTTGGACATGGTCTGCTCGGAGGCCAATATCCACAGCCATAGAGCAACACAGCACGTAACGTTGCGCAATACACACGCCCCTTCAGTGAAAGGGATATGTCGCGCCGGGGCCAGAGATGCCACAGAGTAGTAAACGCTAGTCTAACTTTGATCACGCTTTGGGAGATCNCCAGCCGTTATGCAACTCCCGAGGTAGACAAAGCTTCCGACTACTTCCATGGTGTTATTAACCAACGAAAGTGCAGGAATGGGCTCCTGCCAATCTTGCGACAACACTTTGCCCTTTGACATGCCATAACGAGTAGCCCCAATTGCCAAACCACTCAACGAATCTTCGTCGGTGCGTTGTCAACGAGTAAGGCAATATCATGGGCTCTACGACTGTCTCCAAGAAGAAGCTCGATACCAGCATTCAGTACGTTATGTAACGCGTTTTGTGGAACATCATCTATGGCAAAGTTGAAGAGAAACGGAGAGATGGGGCAGCTGTGTCGTACCCCACTGGTGACAGGAAATGAGGGGGAAGTTCAAAGCAGATCCTAACGTTCCCTGAGGTCCGCTGATAGAGCGCTTTTAGAAGCTGAATATACTTCCCGGGTACTCCGTATATCCGCAAACAGTTCCACAATGCGGGGCGATCGATAGAGTCGAGGGCCGCTCTGATGTCCCTGAACATGACAATATATGATCGTTTCCGTGTATGATGGTGTTCTAGCAGCTGACAAAAGGCGAAGATTTGAACAATTTAACCACGGTGTGCACGAAACCCGGCATGCTCCTTGCGGATTTGCATTTCACGAAATGGTCTTAGTCTACGTAATAAAACGGACGGGAGCAGCTTCGGCGCCATTGGAATCAGACTTGTCCCTGTGGTTGTAGCAAGCGTTGCGAGACCTTTTTGTAGACGAGCGCAACAATCGATTCTCCCCATGTTTGGGGTACACTTTCGGCTTCGCAGATCGAGAACAGTTTCACAAGCTCTCGCACGAGAGCTTCTCAACCATCTTTAAAGAGGGCAGGTGGCAGGCCGTCTGATCTATTTGCCTTGTGACGTTTCAGGGCTTGGAGTTCCTTTAGGATCTCCGCTTCTTTGGGCGGTCCCGTGGATAGCGACCAACGTACACCCTCAAGGGATATTACTTCAGACAGCCAGCGCCAGGGTTTGGTTGAAGTGCTCAGTCCAGTGTTCCGAACGTCGATGAAGACTGTTTATTAGCGTGCCGTCTACTTTGCAGATTGTTTCACTTGCCTAGGGCCTGTAGTACGGATGAGTTGGAATAGTTGCCGTGTTTCCACAACCATCTGCTGATTCCATCTCCTTTGCACCTAGCGTCCACCAGGCCACTCGATCGTCTCTCAAACTCTTAGTGAACTCAAGCTTCAGGGAGAGGTGCTGTCCATTGTACTTGTGGTCTGCCGGGATTGCCCGACGCGCGTCGAAGAGTCTGAGATCGTTGGGAGACCCAGTGATTTACAACTCGGCGGGTTAGGCCACAATTGTGTAAACTGGGTGAGTGCATTGCATTTTGAGTGGTTGTCCAGTGTTGATCTACGCTTCCTGGTGGGGTAGTAGTTGGCCTTGCGATCAACCCGTTTTGGTAATCGGCTAGTACGGCCCGGTCAGACAGCTTGGCGACGTCCAGCTGTTTGTATTGCATGTTTTTGCGGCCACCAAATCGCATAGATAACTTGGCACAAACCAGCGCGTGGTCGGAGTCGAAGCAGGTAGACCAATACGAACGGCACACACCATCTCAATCTATAGCTAATAGCTATATGATGAATCTGACTCCTCATCTGTGCCGACGAGGAGTTACACCAAGTGGCGAGGTGAATTTTGACTGAAGCTCGTGCTGACGAGGAACAGACCGTGTTCAGAGCATTCATTCAAGAACAAACTGGATGAAGCCTTGAAAAGTCTTAAATTTCAACATCCGTAGAAGCGCACGAAAAAATGACAAATTGTGACATTCATCTACTTTGTATGAACTGTGAACCGATTCATCAGTGCCAAATCCTATGAGACTAGAAAAGCAACCGCTTGCATTTCCCATAATAAAACTTGGACATTGGCTTTGACTATACTATCGCTATCTGAACGACAGCTATCAAAGCCATGATGACCACCAAGGAGAGTTTCGCCAAGTGACAGACAGCAAAAGCATGCATCTGGGTCTCCGGCCAGGATAACGACATCCGTCCGACGTGTTTTGAGAGGCTGGAGTAAGTTGTGATAGAAAGCTTTTTTGAGTGCATCCAGGCTACAGTCTGTGGGAGCGTATGCAGAAACCACGAATAAGCACCGTTCATTTGGTTTCTACTTTTGACTTTATTTTAGCCTCTGAGTCTCAATGCGCGTAGTCGGCTATCTATCACGATTCAGTCCAACAGAGCAGCCTCGGCCCTGGCGCTTCACGCTTCTTCACGTCAGATAACTGTTCGCGCCAACTCTACACGTAACTGTGCACTGTCACGTTGTTTCTTTCCATGACAGTCAGAATTATTTGTGATTGGGGTCATAAAGACATTGCCAAGACCGAATTGCAATCGCGACGCTAATGCACAGTATTGCTAGGGGCCCGTGACCCAACACAAAAATATCAGAATACACAAGACAGTATGTTGATCGGACCGGGTTAACGAATTAATGAATGACCGTGAGAATACGCCAATCGATTAAACGATAGCCTAAAAGCTGGCTCACTGACGAACCGGCCTGGGTTGGGGGGATTAGTGAGCATCTATCATGATCAACTCTATCACTGGACTAGACGACAATAGGAATTGCTGGAAGAACAGGTACGTAGCAGACATTAGATAGAAAGAACGAAAAAAATTGAACACCTTTTGGCAAATTGATAAAATATATATGATACTTTTACGCCGCATACCTCAGCAGGTATCGATCACTCAAGGCCCGGGTTCAGCCATTTAATAGGGTGTATTGTCTAGGTAAGATAGCTGTTGGCTCTAACCGAATAGAGTCCAGTTCACAACAGACGTTGAGTTTCGGATGATCGCCTCTAAGTTCACCAGGGAGAAGGAATGGTGTTTCTCGCGGACACGGACGATCTGATTCAACCCGACCAGTATCTTCGTTACTATACTAAATGGACTGAGGTTGGGCTTCCGGACAAGGTTAGACCTTAAAACAGCCCGACAAATGAGGCAAAAACGGTTAAGACAAATTACGTAGAAATGCTGTATGATACTGTGTACGAAAGACAGAAACTAATTATATTGTGTACGAGAAGCGGTTCGGATGCGTGCGGCAAAAGTTGATGCCATGTAATGAACCGGGAAGATTATTAACCTCCGGGGCGACTGGGTCGATGATGGGACTGGGTTAGACCGCAGGCAGATTGATCAATGTATGCTGGCCGTCTGGCAGATAGGTCACATTGCGATTCCGTGACAGCTGGTAAGCAATATCTTCGGCTGCCTCGATACGACGTAGTTCGACCAGCCCTTCACCAGACGAGCCGAACGCTTTTGCAAGCAAGGTGGCTGCTTCCGAATCTCCTTCGGCTGTTATGACAGCAGCTAATTTCTGCTGTTCAGCCTGAAATTGGGAAAAAACGAAGTGAGATATTTAGCAAAATACTATAGGAAAACCAGCTTAGAATATCAATGTCTCAATTATTAGGAGCCGAGAATAAGCTATACTAAACACAGAATGTGCATTAGCTGTTTGTGTCCCCGTTCAGAAAGTTGGCAAAACTGTGAGTCCAGCATAGCATAGTACGAGACTGAATAACAGTCAGTGTAAATGAGCAAGAGAAAAAACAAGAGTCAGCAAAACAAAGAACATGTGTTCGATTTCATGAGCACAGAAATTGACTGAGTGATTTCAACCCCAAGCCATAAGAAGATTAAATAGGTAAAAGCACTAACTTTTTCCACAAGGTACCGGGCGCGTTCGGCTTCTTGTTGGGCCACTTGTTTTGCTTCAACAGCCTCGGAAAATTCCCGTCCGAACGAGATTTGAGTCTGGTGGAGACAAAAGATTGTACGCAACCGCAGTCAAAATATAATCATGAAAATCAGTTGGGATTAAAATACTTTTTCGTAAAGTACGAATATAAAATAAGCCAATACGTGTTTCCAAAGACACTTTCGAATAGGGACGGACGATGTTTCATAAGATTTTCCAATTCACAGTTGTTTAATTTACGAGGTAATATTATACTTCTTGTTGGAGCATTTACTAGTTGATATGTTCAGTGTCCTCAACGCGAGCTTTGTTGATGCTTCGTTTAAAAACAGCAAGAATGGACCACAGACGACGATGGTCAGTTTCTCTCCGCACCACACACCTCACTGGGAAATGAACAGTGGTAATAAGTTGTAAAGAAAAATTAGGACTCTTCTAATCATGGAGTCGAGACATTTATAGGGTGGAACAAAATAATTATCCTGTGAATCGTGAATCAAGAGGTTGTATAAACCATGCCACAAGTTAACAAAGAAATCAAATCATGAGTAACCAATAGTTCAATGCCCGATAAATGCAACTTAGGCACTGAGAGGCTGCACCTGAATTTCCTACCACCGGAATAAGACAAGACAGAACTCGGGAAAAAACATTGCGGAACTATATGGCAAATACCTACCAGAGCAATATCGTCTAACAAAATACCGAACGAAGAAGCGCGTTCCGTCAAATCCTCATTGACTCGTTGACTGACCAGTTCACGTTGAGTGATTAATTCACTTGCGTCAAATTGCGCAACAACCGCCTTTAGCACTTCCGTTGTGATTGAAGGGAGAACCCGTTCCTCGTAGTCGAATCCGAGATTCTGATAAATCTTCGGCAATAACGATGGCTCCGGGCGAAACAGGATGCGCAAAGTAATATTCACCGTCTGAAGATCTGCGAGGACGCAACAGATGGAACAATGATCAAGAACAGGATAAGATGACAAACACACCAATAAAAAAGAAAAAAAAACAACGACAAACAACTTAATTCGAATGACATGATGAGCTAACAAACAAAACCAATCAAAAACACGAACAAACGAACGAAACAAACATCCGAACACGAAAACAATGATACATTTCGACACGAATTCATATCGCACACATTCCTTATTGCACATGTCATTCGACAATCACGTACAATTACACAATGGTGCTGCAACAATAAACACAGATACATACCACTTCGGATTGGACAAAAAACGCAAATCAAAACATCGTACCAATAGCAACACACATACGAATACGAAACGGACAATATAAGCAACATCAAAACACATCACAAATCATCACACATTAGCCAAACACTAAATATACACCTTCATAATAACTGAACACAAAGGAACTCCCAGACGGACATACATAAATGGATCCATAAACACATATACACAAAACGCAACAATCACAAACGATAAAAAAGGACAATGAGAATCAATGCCCTCAAGGCACGGAGCCCCATTGCGCACTGTTTCCACAAATACAAGTTACACAACCTGCCCGAAGAAGAACTGGAAGACAAACTCATCCACTCCGACCAATCCCCGGTGTAGCCGTTCACTAAGATCAGGTCAACACACCAGAAAATCGTCAACAATGAAAAAAACTAAGTCCGCTAAACCGCTCCACATGAAACAAAATATTCCAAGACACACGTAGACACTCGCGGATCACAGTTCGCAAATCAAATACTTCAGCTAAACACCAAGCTAAACCGAAAAAACTCACACCTACAACCACAACCAAATTCCATTTCACTTTTTACAACCAATAACCATGCACTTTCGTACGGCGGTTCTGGTTTCTGTCTCTCTATTGCCCATGCGCATGGAGTAAAGGGAAGATCGGAATGTTCGAAGTGGTGGCAGGGTGACGACAGCGAATTTGTCACGACCAAGGTTGCAAGGACATTGATTAGATGCATCAGGGCCACAGTTTACGACACTCAGCAATATCATTCAGTGTGTACAACCACCGGCCTCAAGGACCTCCGTGTCCCCATCCAGAAAGCCCAACGCGACAAATGTGAGCAATTCGTATGGTCAGATGCTCGTACTCTTATGCCAAATCTTCGATCACCTTTCAATTTTTTCAACCCCACACCTGCCTCGGCTAACACCACGCTCTGTGACAATCAATTTGGTGGCATGCGTAACGCCCCAAACAACGCTACCTTTAGAGGTCGAACACTTTTTATTACACAATGTTATGAACAGCAGATGGGGCGAACCCCATAGTCACGAGGACCGGCTGTTCAGTGGTGGAAACCGGCAACCTTAGCCCAGGGACTTCTAGTGGCGAACCACATAAGGCTCCGATAGCGGAAAGTGAACTGCACTGCACCACATGACACCGTAACCCATCCTCACAAGAACATTCAATTCAAAAAAGTGAAACAAAAAACAACAATCGCGTCCCAGCTTCGTGCAAACCGTTTCGACAGCCACTACAATGCGAAAATCAAAACCACTTCAACTAAAACACAGTCATACACTCATCAACCGCCCGTAAACAGCATACTCCGAAACGGCAGCTATCCAAGAAGCACCTAATAAGCATCGACACCCAGTACTGCCGCATACCATGATCAACAAACACATCAAAACCATACAAAACAATACACAAGCCGCCAGCGCTCAAATAAACAACACCATCACCACCACGAATATCAAGAACAAACTCACATCGATGTGAAATTAGAACAGTCTGATGCATGCACCCCACGATATCTTCACGTCGGGGTTCGTTACTCTTGGATTCGCATGATGTCATAGCTTACTTTTGAATATTTTCATTCTCGACATCTATGACTCTCTCTTGATGTACTCGTTTTTGCGATAAGCTCCATAAATTATAGCACGTGATTTATATGTTGTGCGAATGGCTTCACTATTCTTTGGAGCCCCTTCTTAGAAGACAGAAACTATGGCGATAATTTAGAGCCGGGACATTTGGGCATAGCCGCTCAACATTTACTTCGCAAAAACCGACAGGATTATTCCTGTGGCACATTTTTACCACGTAAATAATTCGGAAAACAATGGGAGCATGCGTACACGGCTACATCGAAAATTCAACTTGATTCTGAAATTCACATTAGCAGGCCATAGTAATCACCGGGCTGATAAAATTGCATAATTCGTTATAAATGTTACAACGAGAAGCAGAGTACTGCAAAACGGCATAAAACCGGTTCCTCTGTACTTCTACTGAGCTGATGAAGCATTTGGGAAAAAGTGCCAAAACAAACGCTATACAGGTCGAACCGTTCTTGAGGCTTGCGCGAACTCACCTTTGGATCCGGTCATCACGGGGATATTTCTCGGACGCGACCGAATATCAAAAACGATCGGTTTTTGCACCCAAGGGATGATGAAATGTGTGCCCTCACCAGTCACCTCACTACGGACGCCTTTAAAACGATCGAATATCACTGCCCTGTGTCCACCATCAACTAGAATCTCTGTGAAAAGAATTGTGAAGACGTTTACCGTTGTATATAACCATAGGAAAAATGCTTCCAGCGGCGACCAGGCCAACGCCTAGCTTTGCTAGCCTAGTGAACATGGTATTCAACTGCGCCATGCCGTATAGTCGACCTTGAATCAGAACTTCCCGGCTTTCAGTTCAGTTCAGTTCAGTTGTCTTGAAGTCTTGAAGTGATTCACGGGTTCCAGGCTGTTGCCCAAATGTCCCGGGTCCTTGAAAGGTATCTGTGCTTTCTTTTGGTTTGA